TTTCTTTACAAAATTTATTAATTGGAAAATTATACCTTTGTTTTGCTATATCCAAAAACCTTCAAATTCGTGGCTATCATCTTCATCATTCTCATCATGAAATATGGTAACTGGCCATAAATTATGCCAAGCACTTTTTATAGTATCTGGAGACACATCCTCTCAGGATCTTGCAATGCTGCACACAGCAGATTATATGCTAAAATATTAAAAAAATTCCTGAATAGTGTTGACATTATACAAGAAACTTAACATGGATTTTAAAAATGCTACTTTATATTTGCATTTTGGAGCATGCACTGTTCCGATATCTATAGGTTGAATGATGGACATAGAATTTGGAGGAAAGAATAGTACAGATACATTATCTTTGACTAAAACCTTAAGTCAAGTATGAGCTGAACAGTTGTCGTCTGTCAGGATAATTTTTTACGTAATCAGGATAATCATTATCAGGTAAACCAACCGAATGCAAATGATGCTGAGCCTTGGGTATGAAACGATTTTAAAACCAACTATTTGTTAATACTTGTGTCATCTGTGCTCTGTTTTCACGACATACATATAATGGAGAAAATCTTTACCCATTTAAATGCTCGAGGTCGTATATTCTTTCCGATTACGAAAAGTGCACACTTATGCGTACCTGCAGCATTTGCAGATGCTAAAATTGTTAGTCTTGCTTTGGAATCTTTGACACCAGTTGGAGCGTTTTCTGTAGAGTTTGCCAAGGTATTTCATGGTGCATATTGACAGAAAAGGCCAGTTTCATCAGCATTGTAAATTTGTTGAGGTAACTTTTTACTGTTAGTGAGTTCAATAAATTCATCTGCAAATAGTTCAAAAGCTTCAGTATCAGCTATCATGAGATTGGCGACCAAAGGCAAGTTGCTTTGCTAAATTTTGTCTTGCTTCTATTGTGCACCGAGACAATTAAGCCTGAATTGTATTATTTTAGTTCTTTGTTATACGACACATAAGTATATGTGGGTATTTACCCACATATACTTATCGAGGGCCGACAGTAGATATCATACTGCCTGATGCAGTCTTTGGGGTCCTAAATTCTGCTAACAAGCGCATCCCTAAGTTTTGAATTTTTGCTGTTTTTAAAGTTTGGGTCCCAGTGCTTCCCCTAATTCTAAAAATTTTGTCGTTCAGTGCTTCTCTAAATTCCAAAAATTCTGTCTTGCATAAATTCTGCCACCTGGTGTGCCCATATGAGCTCTGGTGCCGGTTCTGAGTTTATTTGAACAATAAATCTGTTATTCTTAATTCAGAAAGAACTAAATGTAATCTTTTGGCCTATTAATATCATTAACAAGATCTAGTTTTAGTGTATTGAAAGAAATTTTTGTTAAATTGCTCCTTGTCAACATCTTTCGGTGCATTAACTTAAATCTGTAATCACCACCAAGCATAATGGCAATGGAAAAGTTTACCATACTCTTTGTTATTCAATTACTAATTAATAAATTGTTTAGGCATTGCTGAATGAATCATTACACAAGTTGTGATGTGCTGAAAACCTTGTGGTTTTAAAAGACAAATATAATATATAATGACTCACCATGTTAGCTTCAGGAATATAAAATATTAGTCGGTGTAAACTCAACAATGTTTCTATGTAGAATGTTTTGGCATCTGCCAAGTACATGCAGAGCTATGGAGTCAAATTTTTGATCACATAAATTTATGCTAAAGTGATTGTTTCTTCAATAGTAAGGTGTTTTATTTAGTGCCAAAGTGCAATTAAGAATCAGGACTCTCTGCATGTTTCATTATGGGGGGGGATTAAATGTGCATGCGTAAAGCATACAAAAAATTCCTTAAAAATTTGGTGGCTGTGAGGTCCGAATTTTACATTATTCCAGATATTGGACGTCCGGATCTCGGACTTTGTACTGTATCAACTGGCAGATTGTTAACAGTTTGGAGAAAGGGAAATCTCATATTGTTCATGAGAAACTGCATGGTGAGAAAGAAGATGCAGATCATAATCTAAGCTGATAACTAGATATAAGACATTTTACTGGGGCTGCTAAATTAATACATGCCACGAGAACTGTATAACACAGATGTAACTAGATCGCATACAGAACAGAAAATGAATTCTTTGGAAATGGAACAGTGAAACGAAAATTGAAAGCATAACTTTACTAATTTGGTAACTGTGCAGCACATATGCCTCTGATTTCTTTCTGAAAAATTCTAGTTTCACTGCTTGCAAATATAGCCTCTAGACCAGGGTTTTATACAAGCTTTCAAATGTCATTACAGAAATAATGTTACAAAATGATGAATATAATTGAATTTTGTGAAAATGCAAGCATTTTGAAGTAAGTTAATAGCTTTGCTACAGGCGTTGCATATTTTAGTAAGTGCAGGGACTTAATCTCTTAAACCATTAATGTACCAATAAAAATTCAGAGAGTGGCCTTTATCCGTCCAGTTTTTTTAAATTTTATTTTTATTAACTCAACCTCTTTCATTATTTTAACTTTAGACTGTAATGGATATATTCTGTTGTACTCACATGTGGAAAAAAATCTTGAATGCATATACTTGAATATGCAGAAATAATTTTGTTAAAAGTACTTCTCGGTTGAGTGCATTAAAAGGTTAAAATCAATTCAAAATTGTTTTAAAAATTCTGCCTTTTATGAAGAAGTCTCAGAGGAATAGCAAGTAGCTAATGTTTGACACATCAGTGAGGGAAGTTATGAAAATCATTTTTAGAATGTGTGTCAATTCCAAAAAAATATTGAGATAATGTGTGTAAAACGTGACTAACTGACAGTAAAATGAACCAGAGAAGTATGATAATATGCCATCATCAGTCAAATCTAGAAAAGCACTGCAAATTCTAAGAAAAACTCTTGAAATTGAAAGGTGCTGATCAAAAAAGCTACCAGCAGTTTTACAAAGTTATGATAAGCTAAGCATCAGTCAAATTTAGAAAAGCATTGCAAATTCTAAGAAAAATTCTTGAACTGAAAGGTGCTGTTCAAAATAGCTACCAGCAGTTTTACAAAAATGAGAATAGAATTGAAAAACTGTTGAACAATATGAAATAAACACATCAAACATGTGATTATGAAAGTATTTTTCATAAACCAAAAATTGAATTTCAAAATTGCATATATAGTTTAGTTTAATCATTAATTTTTAATGTTTTTAGAATTAACTAGCCGCCATGCAGCCAGGCTTTGTCTGGCTTTTAAATGTGCCGGGAAAATGCCTAAAGGGAACAAACACCAAACATTATATTTAAAAACTTCATAGAATTTTACAGAACAACTTTAACCCACAACCCCCCCCCACAAATTTCAATGAAAATGTATTGTATATATAAAAAAATTTCAATGAAATAATCAATATTCCTTAATACAAATATTAATTATCCTAATAAATAAACTAACCAACTTCCCGTTGCAAAATCTTAATTCAAATGGTAAAAAGGTAGTTAAGAACTTTGTTTCCTAAAAAAAAATCATGCAAAACATTTTATATAATTAAAACATAATTTAAAAAAAGTACAATAAAATAAGAAATAAATTTCATATTTTCAAGAGAACACAGTCAGCAGTCCAGTATCCAAAGCAGTGAATGAAAAACTGTTGCCAAAATGACATTTCTAAAAGAATGAAACTTACCAATCAAAATTGTGCTTTGTGGATGACATAATTCAAAATATACAAACCTCTTTGCCACTAGCTAATAAAGAGAGAGAGAAGAAAAGGAAATTCTTTCTGTTGTGCTTCTCGAGATCATATTACATGTAATGTTAAATGCCTGTTGCATGTGTAATGTTTGGCACATGTATAGGTATTTGTTCTGACAAATTAAGCTTACTAATACGCAAAATTTTCTGTTGGATATACTTAATTTTTAATGTCTTAAGCAAGTTAAATAAGTGTTTGTGATTATTGTAATAAATTAATATATCTTACCCCTCATCTTCCATTGTCTGCATTAGGTAACACAAGGTACTGACAGCCTAATTTCTCAAGACATCATGGTACCTATTTAATTGTCTAGCAGTTTAAGCTTGGAAACACAGCTTAACGTTTTCTGCAACTAACTGAAAGGCAAAATGCATGTGAAATCGAAGAGTGATATATACTTTTTGATAAGTGTGAAATGATAATTTCAAGATATGGCAGATAAATCATCATACAAAATATGAACTATATGAGATTTATTCTAATATTGTCATTAAAAATCCACATCATTTTATGTATCCAGATTGAGCTCTTTATTTCGTATAGGAATTGAGATTTCCCTTTTCATGTATTTATAAATAGCCTGCTATCAAAACACCTCTGACGGCATCCAGTTTGTTTTTGCACATGCTTAATGATGACAGAAGGCTAATCCACTGCAGTGAGGGAATCAGGATCTGATGTTTAAATGCAGGTGTAAGAAGTGGTTCTATGGTTATAAAATACTGGTTTTTTGCTTTTGCTCTGATCGAGGTGTAGCTTCAAGGTTAAAAAGTTCATGAATATGAGAGAAAAGGCAAAAGTAAATGTATTAAGAATGAAAATGCAAAAATAATATCGTACCAGATTTATTTTTTGGTCTAGTGAGAATTTGATGTAATTATATTTTCAGGAGAAGGTCAGTTATAGCTTCTCATTTTTAAATTGTTAGCATATCTGTATTACTTGTCATTTGAAACTTTTAAGTACAATTACTCCATATCTGTATGAAGCATTTCTCATAAATTTGAACTTTTATGATGCATTAAAAACAATGTGTTTGATAAAGAAGAGTATTGCAGTATTTTTAATTTAAACTTTGTGATAAAATCAATATATGGTATAATGTACATAGTATTACAACTTTTTTGCTAAGTGTTTTGAGGTTTCTATTTTTAAATGTTTCATGTTTTATGTTTTACTTTATTAGTCTCTTTCTATTACTGCTCAGAAGTCTGTCTTACAGAATAATGAAATATTTAAACATGATCTAATATTCCAAAATATTTTATATAGGTGGCTTTAAATGCAGCTGTTAGTGTTTTACGCTGTATAGTTGCAATGACTGTGAATGCTGTTGATGTTGGTGAGATTACTGATAAGGTAAGCAATTGCAGAAATAATTACATTATTTATTACATATGTAAATTTGAAATGTTGAAATTCGATGTGTGTCTACTTCATATTTTCTTAGCATGTTTCCTAGGTTAAACTTCAGTGTGCAGGTACTGTTGGCTAAATTATTGTAACTACTCATTTAACTCATAAAGAACTGTGAATAAAGTATTGTCATTCTTCCTTTGAATAAAGATTATACATACTTACATATTACAGAAGTATGATTAGCTTTTAAGCATATACTTCATGGTTACATGTTCATATATGATGTCTCATCTGTGCTACTGTTACACCCTATTTATGATCATAATTTTTCCAAGAGGCATTCTGAAATTTTCTCCTTAAATGAATGATTATGTTTTATTGCAAAACCTATGCACATATCTGTGCTTGATTGGATGTCCAAAACACTCATATAGTTCATTAATCTAAATAATTCCATAGTTACATAATTATCTACTTCTGAACTACCTTATATAACTAACCTACTTCTGATCTAGTGGTGATTTTTGTTGATAGTTGGTAAATTTTCTGAAAATTCATCTTATTGAACAAATTGTTCTTTGTAGAACTGAGTCACTTTAGATAAACATGATCTTTAAATATCTTTCTGCCAAAGACATTTCTTTTAATGTGATGGAGTTTAGTATTAGCTTTATGTAATTATCTTTAATTGTTTTTCTTGATATGGCTAATGTGAAACTAGCAAAGTATTTACTCCTGGTTTTGTGTCAAACTTGGTAATACAATGGCAAAAACTTACAGAATTTTTAAACAGTCATTAACTGATAAGTTTTCATCCAGTTTAAAAGTACATGTTCGGCAGATGTTAAAAAATGGGTAGTTGTCAGTTTGTGCTAGCAAGCCTGCTGGATAAATATCGAATGGCACATAACTACAGAAAAAGTGGTGAAATAACATGAAACAGTGAATGCTAGATGATAGGATGTAAGATTCCTACCTTTAAGTTACAGCTAAAAATGAGGAACCTGTAAGAACTAGTAAACGAATAATCGCTTAGTTCAGTAGACGGAGAGCAGAACTCAAGAAGAGTTAAATACCCTTTATTTTTCAAAATAAGTTTAATAGTCGACTCCTTCTTGGAGTTTACAGCAAAGCCTGCACTTGGGCTTGAACTCAGGAATACTAAGAAATAAAACTTAACTAAGAAGATATAGCTGAAACTATCAAGATTCTGCTTGAGTTGGCCCCTTAATGCTAAAACAGCGAAGCTATCAAGGACCTAAATTACGGCTGATTGTAAAAATAGCTTAGAGAGACAGTAGCGTAAAAGGTGAACGTGCGCTGCTCCAGAATCTCTGGCTCTCTAACAAAGTCAGTGGAACGTCAACTTTAAATACTTGTTCTACCTTCATTTGCATTTAACTGCACTTCTAAAAACACGCTCTGGTCGGAAATTATAATCTGAAATTAAGAAGTGACAGGAAAGTGGCTTAAACTAAACATTAACTGTTAAAAACTTAGGATAAACCTTAAAAGGTAATTACTGACGCTGACGACTTTATGGTATGTTATGTTATCAGAATATGTTTTGTCAAAACAATTTAACCCGAATTTCTTCGCTGTGAAAAGAAAGCAGGTACTGAGCAATGAAAAGCTAGGTATATAATTTTTCTGTCTGCTCAGAGTTTTTAGAGCTAGCCAGAAGTCATGCTTGCTGTATTTCAAAATTAAACTGGTGATTTAAGCTAGTTTTATGAAAGTACCACTGAAAACAAATTTGTACAATGAAGGTTTATGTTAGTTTTTTTCAATCTTCAGGGAGACTGCTTAGATACTGTTTCAGCTGATGTAACTTGCTTGTGCAAGCATATATTATAATATTTTGAGATGGGTAAAAGGGTGTATAAAGTCTGCAGATATTAACAGCTATATGTATTTCCATTCTGTCTGATATATAAAGTTGAAGGAATGTGATATTGAGAGTGTTTGGGTTATGCAGGAAACAGTGCTAAATATACTCACGTTTCAGGATTTCCAAATGTTTTATATTGATAGAAATGTTGGTTTTATTTACATTGTGAGAAAAAACTTTTTGAAAGGTAAAATATATGGTGTGAATGTTTTATAAATTTCACATAATTTCTCTTGTTCAACCTTATAATATTTTCCTGATTTGGTTCTCTCAATTAAAATGTTTCATTCTATTTAGTTTATGTTTGAAGTCTTTGTTTAAAAAATTCATGTTACAGTTAAGGCACATTTCTGTGATTAAAAGGTTAAAATATGTTATTCTTGTAAATTAACTCTATTCAGAATGTTATTAAAAGTTAGAAAAATTATTTTGCTTTATTTCTGTAGTGTTGTTTGAATCATGCTCATACTTTTATTAGAAATTATCTTAATACTTTGTGAGGATAATCCCCCAAATAAGGCTTCATGAGACCACAGGTAAACTATCAGTGGGGCTGTTGGCAACACAACTTTGTGTTTGTTGCTTCCTCCACTCTCAAACAAGCCTGTGCACACTTCGCTGCAATGCTCAGTCTTGGCTTAATAGCCATTTGTAATGAAGCTGCCATGTTATGATACTGCCACACAATGAAGGTCACACAGTTATTCATTTTTTTAATACAGGTGTTAGACCAATTAGAATTTGTTGCCTGTTGATGGAAATGTATGACAGGTTGTGCATAAATATTAAAAGCATCCATAAGTGGTGCAAAGTCGCAGTTTATTTTGAAATTCGCAGTAAAGAAAGAAGCAAGAGACTCAGTTTTCAACAAGTAAGATTGATCAAACCATGTTTGAAGATCACTCTGGTTGATCTCTGCATTTTGGTTATAGAGGCTCCCTGATGCACTATTCATAAAATTTTATTGGAATATTGGAAGGTGTGCACAAGATGGATCTTGCAAATGCTCAAAGAGAATCATCACTGGCAACAAATTGACTTCTCCTGCACATTTCTTCACTACCAGGTTTTGCTCAAATATGAAAAGGACCTTTTCATATTTGAGTGTCGTGGGTGATGAAATTTGGGCATTCCTTTTCATACCTGAGATTAAACATCAATCCCATGAATAGCAGCCTTCCTTTTCACATAAGCCACAAAAATTCACTCAGTCTGGCAGTAAAGCTATGTTAACTGTGTGTTGAGATCAAAAGACAGTATTGATGGTCAACTTCATGGTTTCTGGGATCGCAGGAAATGCTGACAAGTATTGTGTGACTGAAAAAGGCTGGTAATTCAAAGCAAGAGACAAGGAATGTTCAGCAAAGGTGTGAGCATTCTCTATGACAACATTTACCTTCACATTACCTGTCAAATATTTTCAAAGGAATCCTATAATTCAGATTTGGCAACCAATGACTATCACCTGTTTTCTAAATTGCAAGAACATTTGGCCAAAATGTACTGCATTAACAAGGAAGATGTAGAAGATGACACTCAGCGCTCCCTGAGCAACATGGCAGCTAGCTGGTATGATACGGCTTACATAAAATGGCAGAATGTCTATCAAAAGGCATCAACGAAATTGGTGATTGTGTCGAAAAATAGTTGAATGTTTTAAAAAGATGGAAACATTTTTAAAACTTATCGTTTCCTTTATATAGGACTTCTGTGATTGCCCTCCTAAATGAAATAAATTACTTGTCATGTGAAATGAAAATAAAATTGAAAATGGCATAAAATGGACTATATATGTGTATATGTATTTGTTTTTTTTAAATTTAAAGTTTTTTGTATATATCGATGAAGTTGGATGGTATTCAGTAAAAGATTGAGATAAAGTTGGATGGTATTCAGTTAGACAAATATATCCTCTTTGAAATCCAAACCTCATTTAAAACATGAGGATATTAAAGTAAAGATTATGATTGTGAAAATTTGTTAATTTTGAGAATGCTGAAGCAGGAAACTCAGCCTAAGGTATACTTCTGGAAAAGTGTCTTTATGTCATCTTTGTTTTGCTGAAAATGAGTTAATCCCTATATAAAGTGAAGCTTCAATGAGAAGAGCTGAACAAATTTACAGATAATTAAAAATTCATGTACAGACTTTCCAAAAATTCAACGTGGATATTGATATAATTGTATTTTAAAAAATCAGATAAGAATTCACTGCTTATAGTAATAAGGTGATTGTTTTATGCATAACAGATGTTGAAGCATAAATAAAATCAAGGTATTCAGATTTTTTAATTAATGTGCATAGATAGAAAAATTCTTTGTAAAATAGCAACAAATTATATTATTCTGATGGAGAAGTAGACAGCATAGATAATTTTGGAAGTAATGATGAAATATTACTCTTCTCTTTCAGGTACAGATATATTGTGTGACATAAACAGTATAATGACAATTTCTTAAAGAGGCCATCTCCTTAATGCATGGTCTCTTAAAAGATGTGTGAAATTTCATAGTTTCTGGAGGGGAATGCAGTCAGGCTTTTATTTAGCTGTTAAGTATTTAGTTTATGATTGTTTTTGTTGAATTTTTAGGAAACGCTTTAAAAATCACTTAAACTGGATAAATGTGCATATTTATTTTTCAAGTTTTGGGAAAGAAGGGGGGATTTATCTCATTGCAGCATTGAAAGGGGATTGCATAGTCACAATTGCATAGTGGAAAAAAAAAAAAAATTGAGAACCCTTGCCCTAACCCTTCAGTAGGCATGATCAAAGTCTGACACAGTTAATTGCAATATATCCCTTAGATGGTAATCTTCTTCTGATTAATAAACCACTGAAATTTAGAATTTGAATGAGAATATTAACTTATTAATTCCTTTAATACACACTGTTTAATATATTTACATTTTTAAATGTATCATTTTCATGCAATTACTGGAGACTGGGGATCATAGTTCCTTTTCCATAGTTCTTTATTTTGTCCCTCTTAGCTGCAAGCTGACATTTTTAGAAATTTAAATAAATGATTGATGTGGAATATGTTGGAGTATGCTTTTAATCAGAGTTAAATCAGTGTAATGAAATTATGCAAGTTTCATTTCATGTAAA